TGTCTTGTGATTCCAGGCTGAGGGAAAACCCCGGCATTGTCCTTTTGTATAAGCATAGAACCTGTACTTGTACTACTACCCTTATACCATGAAATCAGTGGATTGATGCTAGTTGCAGTATATGTACATTCCAATACTGTTGATGTGGTCTCAATTGAGGTGACAGGTGACCCAGGCACAGTAACTGTGGCCGCTGCTGAAACTGAATTTAAAAATGACTCAATACACGTTGTATTATTTCTTTAAGTAGATGAACTTCAAAGTGTGAGACATCTTTTTGCGGTTCATCGGACAATAATATGAAACGCATAAATTGTAGTAGTTGTTATCGTAGATGAAATTACAAGATGTGAAATGACTGATCAAAATTAAAATATAGATTGTGGCACAACTCTACGAGAAGCCACTCCTGTCGAAATTGCGAAACGAAAATTTAATGATTTTGGTGTCGGTTCAATGCATCGCGCCGTGCAGCTGATATATGTATATATCTTCACTTATTCCTGCAACCTGGATATGGTCTAGATCTGCATGTTGGAAAAATTGACGTCCCATTGGCAACTGATATGATAATTAACTAAGAAACTAGAACTATAATATAATGTGGTGTGTAGAGAATGAATTTTAGTCTTATTTAATCGTAACGTAGACGTTGGACAAATCAAACAGACCGCGGGGATATATACTAGTCATATCAAATGTTTCAATTGTACCCTGATTGTTGATCAATTAAGCGGCACTTGGCGTTTTAAAAACACATGAACATGTTTGTGTGCAGAATCATGTACGTATTTAAAACATAACGAATATATACTTACTTGCCACACAAGCCACAAAAATAACACAGAACATTGTGATTCTCATTAAAAGTAATATCCGGGTTCATGAACTTTGACATAAAATGAATAAGGCCGATTACTCCCTCTAAGAAGTTTACTAGTTTAAAGAAACAGCTTCTTGCCGTATTAAAACATTCCCTGAGCAGGTTGACATTGAAACACCAACCTCCAGCTAATTCGAGTGATATTTATAGATACTTTTCGGCTCGCTCAAAGGATTGTGACGTGTACTAAAAAACAGCACACAGAATTGTAAGTTCTCTCTTACAAACACATTGGTATAGTGTTGTGTCACCGAGTAGACCGATCTTATATTGTGGGATTATGTAATCTCGTTGTTAATGTAAACATGTAATTTCCTTTGTTATGTCTGCAGCAATTGTCATATTAAATGATCAGCAACTTCAGGACACGTGTTGTACACATCAGAAGCGAGGACTATCAATGAAACATAATGCATATATTAAATAAACATATTCAGAACAGACTACTGCATCTCGGCTCTTGTATATGAAATAATGCGGTATGTAATGCCACGCTCGATTTATACCATCGATTTGGTAGGTTACCAAAGTCAACGTTCACTGGGTATTGTATGGAATATCACATTCACTGTAACATAATACACGGAAGTAACTTATCGTCTTGTATACAATAGTGATTTTATTTAAATCATGGACAGACCAATCACAGTAAATCGTGCGAGAAATCAGTCCCAAGCGACGATAACAACGCACGTAAAAACGCTCATGAGTAGACGCTTGTTTGTAAACAATGACGTACTATGGCTGTTTGACGCATGCGCAGGTGATGACTCCCCGGCTTTGAACTCGTAGACCTGACTCTTAGAAAACATTGACCATGTTTTTATCACTTTTGCGTTGTACCTGGCATTGTGGATACACCTCTAAAAATGTTGGATTCCGTTTTTTACGTTATATTGTTACTGAAAATTCCGGACGCACATGCAGATTATCAGTAATCCATCGTCGTCGTCTGTCAGCATACACTTTACATATTCGACTTCTTAAAAACTGATTTTGTGGTGATATCTTCAATTTTCCTATTTTAGTGAAGCTTGTCATTTTTGTAATTGGCTAACATAATTCATTTATGGTGAACTTCAGCCAGATTTTTCGTTTTTTGAAAAATGCTATACTGGAATTCGGCAACAAAATTATCAGCTTTCTCTTAATAAATCATGCTACTATTTTCGTGCTAATCCTATATCAAATATCAGCAGATACTGGAAACTGAATTATATATGCTACTTTATTGA